GCACCGACCAGCGAGTGTGCCGGCTGCAGGCTGCGGTGCAGGCACCCGGGGTGCCCCACGGGCGTGGGCAAGTGGTCTGGTGCCTGAAAGCCGGCCTGGGGAAGGTGTGGGGCCGGCGTGCAGCTGGGTTTTCCTCCATGTCATGGGTGCAGCCTCCCTTATTCCAGCCTGTGCCATTCGCTGTGAAGGGGTTACAACGAGGGCCCTCTTGTAACGAATTCGACTGTTGTTTCAGTACAATAAACTCATTTAATCTTTTTTTTTTTGTTTCCATTTTAAAGTACCTTAGAAGAAAATAAAAAAAGAAAAACCACACCACCAACATCTGAGCAGGAAACGCTGCTGCTGTTCAGTTGGCAGTTGTTAAAGTCAATAAATGATGATGTTTCTAAGAAATGCCTGGTGCTTTGGGGCGCGTCGCTGAGATGCTGAGGGCTGTGCTGGAGGTGGCAGGGAGGGCCGGGATGTGGGGATCGCGGTGGGATGGGTGGCTGAGGAGGGTGGAAAGCATCTTCAGGAACTGGTTGTGTGAGGCATTGCTGAACAGTGGATGGGGGGGGGGGCAAGGGCTTGTCTGGTCTCTGGGGAGTCGGTGGGCAAGAAGCAACAGTGGGGGGCACGAGGGTTTTGTTATCCCTGTTGGCTTCAGCCAGGAGGCACGGCGGGGGGACAGAAAATTTTTGGCCTGGATTCAGAGTGAGGAGGGGATTTTGCATGGCAGGAAGGGCAAGACCTGTACCCTGCCACTACCTGGTAGGTAACACTGGGCCTTTCCAGGGCTGTTCCCCACGGGCATCACTGAGGGCCATTCCCCACCATGCATGACCCGTGCCTGGGGTGGCATTGGCAGCGCAGGGTGGCCCACGCTCACCAGGAGCTGCAAACCTGGTTAAACAGAAACACCCGGGGAAGGGCAGGGCTGCCACAGCGACGGCACGGGCCAGCCTAGCCACGGGCTGCGTGTGCCCCTCTCCCGGCCGGGATGGGGATGGCCCTGGGGACAGCACATGGCTGTGCTCAGCCCTCGCCTATCAACCCCTCCTGTCAGCCAAGCCAGACCACGTCAGGCCCCGCCATCAGAGCTACCACAGCACGATATTCAGTACCCAGGGCCCAACGTGACAAACAGAAAAACAACACTAAATGGCTGCAGATGGTGGCCGACAATCAATAGCCAACACTTCAGGGATTGCAAAAAGCCCCAGACCCAGCACTGGGTCCCTGACACCTTGATTTTGGGGTGTGGAGAGCAGCTAAGATGCACGCACAGTGAGGTCAGCAGCAGGAAGGGTTTGTGGGAGCTGTTCCCGAGCCCTTTCACTAAAGGCCATGCTGGGCTTTGCTATGTTTAAACCTCATTTCTCCAAGTATAGCCACTTGAATTTTTTAAGCTTTAGCTCAGCAGCTGGGGAGGGCATGCGGCTGCGGGAAGGGAGGTCTGGGGAGCTCCGTGCATTCCTCCTTCCTAACCGGTGGACACAAATAGCTCACTCCCAGCCCAGGGCTATTTCTGACTGCGATGGGGAGAAGACTCTTCAAGGCTGGAGCAATGGAAAGTATTTGCCCCTCACTTGATGGTGGGAAAGCGGCGGGCAGAGCCTGCTGGAGACACAGGCACTGCCTGCTGCCCGGCCTTGTGCTGCTCTGCCCATCCCATGCTGGCTCGGCCATGGCGTTGCCATAAGAAACCACTGAGCAAGTGCCAGGGTGAAGCCTCTTGCCCTGGCTGGCACAGGGGACATGGCCACAGCCCAGTTGCCTAAGCCCACGCCTCTGGCAGGCAGCTGCCTGCACCAGCTGCTGCTCCCAGTCAGCAGTGGCCTGCAGTGGTGGTGTCTGCAATACTGGTGGCCAGCAGTGCCAGCGTCTGCAGTGCCGGTGGCCAGCAGTACCGGTCTCTGCAGTGCCGGTGCCTGCAGCGCCAGTGTCTGCAGTGCCGGTGGCCAGCAGTACCCGTGCCTGCAGTGCCAGTGTCTGCAGTGCCAGTGGCTGCTGCCAGCCCCACAGTCCCCAGGGAAAGGCAGTGTGAGCCACAGCTGCTGCGTGGCCCCCGCTGCTCGCCCCGCAGCCCATCCCCACCCCAAGGGACAGGCACACTGTTGGCCACTGGTGGGGGGTCTCTGCTGCAGCAAAAGCTTGGCCAGAGCAAACGAGCACGGGGACAAGGCCTCACCGCCTGCCCTGAGCTCTCGCTGAGCTGGTTTTGGACTTCTCCCGCTTCCTCCACCACCACAGGCCCAACCTCGCTGCTCTGCAGAGACCGAGGGGGCTCATGGTGGCTGCACCGAGCAAATTCTACCAGGGACAGGCGCATGGGGCTCCCTCAGCCACAGCCCTGCGGACACCTGGGCCCTGCCAGCAAGTTCCTCTCAACAGGCCAAAGCTGAGATGCCCCCAGCTCCTCTTAGAATCACAGAATAGTTTGGGTTGAAAGAGACCCCTAAAGGTCACCCAGCCCAACCCCCCCTGCAGGGAGCAGGGACACCGCTAACCAGATCAGGTTGCTCAGAGCCCCATCCAACCTGGCCTTGACCTTAACTCACAGGTAGGAGGATGGGTCGGAAAGGCCCAGCTCTCTGGGATGCTGGTACCCTGCTCCAGCTGAGCTTTCCTGCAGAGAAATGCAACAGGCTGTGCAGTGCCAGTGGTGAAACAGAATCTGTGGGGAAGGTTGTTGCGCTGTAGGTAACTCTGTCCTTCACTTTTATTCACTGGAGTTTGTTCACTTGCAGGCTAATGTAACTGCAGATACTCTCATTAAGCAAGAAACATCTACTCCTTTCTTTGTATTTTGCAAACGGCTTCGCCTCTGTGTTATCTTTCCTTGTGTGGTACCATGCTGCAGTGTAGCCTTTGCTTAGGACATCCTGTCAGAACCAAAGAGAAAACCAGTTTTAAAATGTGATTTGGACTGCAAGAGGGCAGCAAACTCACTTAACATTTCAGAGAAACCTCTACATGAAAGAAGATTTATTGTTCGCTTGTTTTTAAAGGCATGCCAGGATGTGTTCCCAACAGGAAAGACTGTATTATTTCCTCTTACAACATAGTGCATTTTTAAAGCCAGTTAGCAGCAAATGTGTTATTCCTGATGGCTTC